GCATATGTGAGGAGGCGTTGAAAGCCGAGAAGGTTTCAATATAGAAGCTTCCGTATTTCTGAGAACGAAACCCCGACTGCAGCGCATTATGTCGAGTATTCAGCTCTCGGAAATGGCTCACCCGAGGTTTCCGCGAGGAAGGAGACGCAATAGCTATCCAAATTAGTTTCCGGGAAAGATGCGCGTTCGTCCTTTTTCAGACGCATGGTTTATGGATGACGATCCCTCCGTGAGTATGCCAGTATTTCTGATGGCTCAGAATGATATGTATTCCTAATGTTCCTGCTTGCATGTTCGTTTTCCTGCTGGGAAAGAGAAACGTTGATTTGGGAGCAGGGTTGGCTAAATATTCCAAAAACAGTTTAATTTAAATAAACGTTTTAAAAACAGATTTTAATATTTTAAGTATTTAAAAATTTAAAAAAATAACAATACCTATAAATTTATGAACTGAAAATCCATTTAATCTCATATACATTCACAACATACCCATAGAAATAAGTACAAAATATATTCATCTAGATAGTTTCCTGTTCTCTTGAAGCTGGGCTCGCTTTATGATTTCGCTCCGTCCTCTTTCCAGCTGCTGGCTACCGGCGCGTACACCTCCCAGGTCTCCCAGGTGTTATCTCAAGGCCTATTGCTCGTTTGAGGACATTTCCCGTGGAGATCACCTTCGCGCCCCCTAATATTGCGTAGGTCGCAGTGCCTTTATATGCGAGCCCATATTATCCCTTGGCCCCATCGCAGTACCATTATTCTCTGTATAGGGATCGTTTCCCTCAATTAAACGCAGTTTCCTGTCAGGTCAAAGGATTGTTCTATATTACGTCTATTTCTCCAAAAGTACGTAATTATACGTGAAAGTAAATTATGATACCGTTCTCGATAAAATCTTCTTTAAGTATGTTTAAAATTGTCCCGCTTTAATTGACACCGCTTTCGACGTGGCACGAGAGCATTCAAAATATTTTAAGCGTTTGTAATTTTTCAAAATTTACATATATGTATAACATGGACCTGCTCCATTTTTTCGAGGGTACATTTCTCTATAGCAAAAGAGTTTAACAGAAAAAATATTCTTACTTTTGAGCCATTTTTGAGAAAATGTGTTGGGCTTTCATGTAAAGAACTTTTACAATTAAAACATTAATTTCGAATTTGCAGGGCTTTTTCGAGGGCGATCGAATGGAGAATATTAATTTTTGGGAAGACGCTATGTGTGTATTAGATGCTTCCTTGTGAGAGCTTATTAAAAACACACATTTTCGATGCTGTTAATTTTAAAATATTTTATTTCAATGGATAAATCTTATCACAATACGAACACATTTTAAACTAATAAAACGATTCAAAATAATGGATTTGAAATACAGTCACTATGTAAGTATTGAAGTACGAGAACAAGTACACCGCATTACATTATTATTTCAGTATTCCACATGTGAACAACTATATAAATTACACTGAACAGAGATTCAGAGAGAACTTTTGATCTTGTCAAAATAAACACATTTTATATCCCAAATTCTTGCCATGGTAACCTATTTCTTTACAGCGTGACTGCAAATAGTAATGTTTACCCGACTGTGCAAAAGGCAAAGACGTATGGCTGGTTGTGGATTGTGTGTGTTTGTTTCCACCGACCGCTTAAAATACTTGTCTTTGAGACCGGCTAAAATGACAATTACTTCGCCTTTCCCCCATAAGTAACATACGCCAGATGAATACACCGTGGCCAGGAGTGTACCATGCTTTAGTGATCACGGCTAAATCGACATCTGGCATTCAGAACTTTTTTAAAAAAATACTTGCATATATGTTTTGTTTAGGATAGCTACGTGTATTAAATTAAAATTCACAAAGTATTGCAAAACAAGCCAAATTGAGTTGACCAGATATGTGCGTTCTCAAATGAGGATGCTGGACAATTTTTTAAAATGACATAATTCAGGCTTCCCAATTAACTGCGAAGTTCCGATCATTCAAGTTTTAATATTTTTCATCGTCTTTTTACAACTGTAAACTGGTGTCAAAGTGTAATAATGGCAAGGTTGTATTAAAATATCCTTGCTTTAGCTTTGTAATGCAAATTCAGTAACATTTGAGATTTCCTCATATTTGTTTCTTTTATAGAAGTAAGAAATAACTACTGTTCCTCTCTCTCGAAACAATTTCAGATATGCACCGCTGGCACTTCGTTTGAATTGGTTGGGGTTTCTATGTGGGGGCTAAAATGTTAATAGAGCAGATGCAATATTATTGTTATGTAACAGCTCCCAATAAAGCGAATAAAATGAATAGGACATACGCAAAGAATCCATAGCAGAATACTCCCAAAGAAAATTATGGAATGGACTGTAACTGGTCAACGAAGACCAAGAGCTCGATAGATAGATGACGTGTCCCAGAATCTCCGGATACTTAAGAAAGTGGAGAATGACTAATGGACAGAGAAAAATGGAACGACATAGTCCTGAAAGCCAAGACCCCTAGAGGAAGGTTGCAGTACTAATAGAGGAAGAAGAAAAAGAAGGACCGCGTCTAATAATGTGAGAAAGTGCATACTGTTGAGCACTTCCAGTTTCTAACTCTAACTGGGAATAACATTGTGTGTTGAGAAAACACCCTCGCGGTTTATCTCATTGGCCAGCGTGCTCACTTTCCATCACGCGATCCGATTCAATTTCCGTTGTGTAATCCCCCCCATATTTATTTAAATAATTTTAAATATTAAAATAATATATATATATATATATTATATATATATATATATATATCATTATACATGTACATAGTCGTAACCCTTAAACCATAGCCCGAGGCCGGGTCGTTGTGGTCACCTGCCTGTTCGCATGCTGTTGCGTCAAGCACAGACAGATTGAGAAAATAGGATATAGGGAAACAGCAGGTTCATTTTCACCTCTTCGCTTAGAACGTTTATTCTACCAAGACCTTCTTTTCGTTTCAATATTCTCTTATATATAAACTATTGTGTGACTTTTATATCTCATAATCGTCTATGTAGTGCAAGTATTATCTTTTCTAAACTTCCATCTAGAAATTTCACCAAAACTAATACTGTTCTGGTGTTCATATGACCCTGTGTTTTTCTCTTATTTAAGAAAACCCTTGCTCAATGGACATGTTTTCTTTACAGAAGTTATTTTAAAACATCTGTGTGGATGTTTAAGTTGGCTTATTGATAAATTTTTGAAGCGGGTGTAAGAGAAATAGATAATATGCATGCAGAATAGTTGCGATCGCTTTTCAAACCTTCTAGAAATCTATATGAAATATTCCTTTGTAAGCGTATTGTATTTTTGATAGCCTTTGGATATGTTAGGGTTCATTGATTGCTAGAACCGTTCCATTCTGACACATACGCTTAGATCAATTATGAAGTTCTGCTTATTGGTACTTTGTTAACTTGGATTATCGTAATTCTCGATTTGTTTTCTTCGGTTGCATTTCAAATGTTCTCTCGTTTTTTCGTATATCATTAGCGCAAAAGGGAAAATGGCTATCGAATGTTTTTCTGTCCACACGTATTTTACTATTAATTTATTAAAAATACGTGTACGGAAGGGGGATTCATTTATTCTGCATTCTTTTGTCGGTTGATGAAGATTCACTGCCCGTGGAGAGAACGGGAATAGCACGAGTATATTGCATCTCCTGGCGAGTGACAAGAAACTAAATCCATTTGTACTTTTTCAAGCGGTGAAGGCTTTGTGAAACAGATCGGAAAATGTAAAATGTATTCAATTCCATTACGTAGACGTTAATATGAGCAGAAATACGAAGGGATGTAAGTCCGGAAAATTAAATTTTTCCAACGGCAGTATATTCCCGCATTTAGAATGTGCATGTTCTTCGGCGATCGTTGTAACCAGATTACGGTTCTTCAATCTTCTTTATGGATTTTTAGATGTAGACACTGAAATGCATTTCCCCGCAAAGTACGTAATAAAGTTAAATCATAATATTGAGGATATCAATGTTTTAAGTGGAATAGCTTCTGTGCTGGATCTCGCATTCTGAAGGCTACGAAAACTATTGATAATACTACGAACACATGTTCGTTTTTTTAGTCGTATGTAAACCTGCCAATCTTTTAGTATAACAGTTTGAAGATTGCGTTTTCGTACACGAATGGATCCATTCATGCCAAGCGTCAGTTCTACGAATTCAAATACAAGATCTAGTGAAAAGTTTTGCGGGTAGTTCCTATCGCAGAGGCTAAAGTTAATCAACGAAGCGATTCCCAAGCACACCACCACTGGCTGAGAAAAAGAATTAAATCGAGATTAAATGTGCGGCATTTTCGCGTGGATTAAGCTATCGGTATAAAACGTAAAAGCTATAAATAATAAGATTAAGTATGTACTTTTGTATGACCACTAGTTAAGATTGTCGAATCGGGCTTAGTCGCAAACAAAGAGCCTCAGGAGTGTGGTACGAAACAGAACATAGTTTTCTTTCAGAGGGAGGGGATATGTGGTCATCGTTTGCACAAAGTATTTCATACGAAATAAATTAATACCTTTTCCCAAGGTACATATCGTAAAATATGTGCTGCAATACCAAGGATTCGCGGCGAATAAACGCTATTTTGCCAGCAGATTATGGGAGTGGCGATCGTCCCACTGAGCAACCCCGCGTGAGTGGATTGAGAGGATGGCAAGTCAGCGGCGATCGGAGAGCCTTTGTTGAAGGTCCTACTCCAGCACCAGTCAGCAATTGATGAGAGGGAAACAACCAAACAACTGATGGGAGCAGCTTCTCTCCTCTAGACTGAACATCCAGACAATAATTAACATTGCATTTTCTAAGCTTTCCGGGTCGAGCCGCGTCTCTGTCGTGGTGGCTGACGTTTCGGTCAAGACATTGTGGCTTTAATCAGAGCGTACTGCTGGGCTTACTACCGACGCGGTGTACGCTCTGAGGGCGGCCATAATATGTTTGTCACATAAAGGAAATTGCAAAATTATATATAGTAAATTATCTCTTGGACGCCGTGGGTGTGAGGTCGTCAGGTCACGTAGGACTGGAGGCGCAGGGCAGCCGGCGCTTGGGCGACACTCGCCGACGACTCAACAGCCAAGGGGTGGACTGCAGTCAACAGGAACGGGCAGAAAACTGGAACGACCCGCACTTCAGCATGGGGCTCATGACTCCCTGGGAACATTCTTCTTTGAGCTCCCGAATTCTTGTTGACAACACTCCTGTGACTGACGACGCCGTGGCAGATGAGCGCTACGGCAGCAGAGTGGAGAATGAATACCACACGAAATAACTTTTCTTAGGACATTACGCCCAATAATAAGGCAACCTTTTGTGTACATATTATTATAATAAATAAATTAAGTGTGTGCCTCTCCATTAAATGCCAAGATCAGGGCTCATTCGCCTTGATTGAGATACCATCCCTCTCATTAGCGAGTAATCCAGCTCCCTGTAAATTAGTTCACTATTCGCCAGGCATGCGGCATGTTGGACGAAACGTCAGCCACCGTGTCAGAAGCGCGGCTCGTCCCGGAGAGCCTAGACAATACAAACTCCGGCCGAGGAAACCTACGCAATCAACACCCGACATTGACGCTGCTTCTTAGCTGGCGTTGGTAACGTTGCCGTCATGGAAGCGAGGACCTAAGACCCCCCACCTACGCGCATGGGGTGACACGGATTGCGAGTATTAAATAGACATTTATTTCATAGACACAAAGCATAGAGAATCTGTTCTACTGAATCTCCAAAAGCGGTGCAGCAATGAAAGAAACTATGCAGCCTCCGGCAATGCAAATGTTACACACAGACACACACATATGTATGTATATACATACATATATATATATATTATATATAATATATATATATATATATATAATATATATATCACATACATACATACATACATACATATATCATTTACTCATATGAAGCTGTACGGACTGAATTGTCATACTCAGTGCGTCAGGACTTTGCTGCCGTCATGCGACAACTGGGCTCCAAGAAAACGTTCGCTCGCTATTAAATATTTACTATTTTCGTGTAGGGTTGAGGAACAGCAACCTTTTTTATCATCTTGATAAGTAAAGAACTGTTGAACTATGTGTCAACATGTTATTATTGTATTCGTGAAAACTATTTGCGTTATTTTTTTTTAATTTATTGGAACGTATTACAAGACTAAGTTGTGAGTTGTTCTTGAACAGTGTCCGAGATACTTTTTGAAAATTCATTTGTGTGGTTTTGTTTAGCAGCATTTTTACTGTTGTTGACCATAAGAACTACTTAAACTAAACTTCTTAATATCATTCTTTCTCGTTTGAAAAAGTTCTTAAATGAAAATCCATCTTTCACTGTACATTTGCCGAGAGGGGACAATTGAAAAATTAATTAGTCTTGCGCAACTTGTCTTTGAGATGATTTTCCTTTCTAGTATTCTCCTGTCTCTCTCTTTCCCGAGTTCTCCTTTCTTGTTTCTCGTCTCTTCTTCAGAGCAAAAGATTAATTAGATAATAAAGCATTCTACTTAGCGGAGTTGCAATGGCAGTTGTGTGAAGAAGGCAAGGAAACTTTTGTCGGCGGTCTTTCGTTTCTTCTTCAACAGCGCGTCCTCCTTGCGGGATTGATTTATTGTTTTCGGAGGCGAGCACGCCAGGCGCTCAGCCGAGGAGGCAACGCGCACAAAACGCTGCCAGCGAGATGCATCCTAAGCGAAGTTTCCTTGGTTGTTCTGTCTTTCATCTGCAGGATGGCGAGATCCGCCGCCGCCGCCGTACCGTCGCCTAGCGGCCTTTCCCCAACCAGGTATCTCCCACTAGTGGGGCACCGCCCAACCAGGACCAGCCCTGAGCTTCCGACCAGTCTCCCGGCATATGTGTGGTGTAGTGCATCTCAGAGCATGTAAGGGATGAGGATAGAACATGAAAGATGAAGGAAAGATGGCGTGTGGTCCGTGGCCCGTTTTTGAGAATTCTGCTCCAGCATGCGCCTGTGTTGATTGAAGAAACCATGCGAAACTACCGATCAGAGCAGCCGGCCGCTAGAATTCTCCTCCAGATAGCGACTGTCGTCGACCTAGCTGACAAGCTGGTGTCAAAGATCTTGCCACTGTCGGTACTCGAACCTAGGACCTCCCGGTCAGAGGCATTGCATTGACATCAGTTGATGCAATGAGCCATCTTTCCTGGGCATGTTTCGTATTGTCTGTGTAATTGCAGTAGTTACGTTAGCAAGGTTGAAATTGTTTGTTTGCCTTCTCTCTTTAAATTTAAAAAGTGGGAAGAAGTGTGGTGAAGAAGAGTGGTCAAAAATTCCGAGTGATAGAAAAATATTTTCATTTTGAGTATTCTTTGGAATTTGTGTTATTCTTAGAAATAATGTGTTGTTAATCGTGTGTGTGGATACTTGGCTGTCCCTTTTCAGAGCTATACTGCAGTATAGCTCTGAAGAAGGCCACAACACGATGGCCGAAACGTCAGCTGAATCGACTGAGACGCGGCTCACCACGAACACCGAGGTATCCAATGACTCCGGCCGCGGAAGCCTATGAACACACCTGTATGTATATGTATGTACTTTCGCACAACAGCTCTTTACGAATACGTTCTACGAGCAGTGTCCCGGGCCTGCGGACATGTGTCAAGGGTTACGATTAGGTCAGAGCAGTCCCTACTCTGTATTTCTAGTCTTTCAACCTGAGAAGCGATCTTAGTAAAGTTAGTGCAGTACAGCAACAGATACTGTGATAGGAGGCAAAGAAGAATGGGAAGATACGGGTCAATATTGCGAAATCACTGGCGTTCTCTTGGAACGATTAACGAAAATGAACATGAATGCAACATTCGGGGCAACATTTGAAGGAATCTTTGGGTCAACAGTTGAGGAAACATTCGGGGCAATTCTGGGAAAGCACGAAGGGATGGTTTGGATGAGGAAACATTTGGGGGCACATGAGGAAACCTTAATATGTGAGGAAACATGAAGGGGCTCATATGGGGCACGTGCCGAAATCGTGTAGAGAACATGCGAGGAAACGCGCAAAAAGCATGGAGAGCACATTTGGGCTGATGTGTCGCGGAGCGTGCAGGGCATAGCTAGATGGAGCGAAGAAGTGAGGGAAGAAGGTTCAGCTCTCCAGGAGTCCTCTTCTGCGTAAGAGAAAAATTAGTTAATGGATCATTTAAGGTGTATGCTATTTTACATTCTATGCGAATTAAATTCAAGGCTGGTAATATATGTGCACGAAGCTATTCGCATTGAATTGATGAGCATATATACCATATAAGTTTTAAGATGCTTGTTTTTGCCTTTTTTTAGGATAAATATCTCCTCTCCTTTTTGCATAAACTACGTTCTTTTATAGAATAATTTGCACTTTCTTATTTGCTATTCAGTATTACTTTGATTATACAGATGCTATAGTCAGAAAATCGGCCATGGTCCAAAGTGAACATTCATTATGAAATCTCCAATTCACGTCTTTGTATTTTAAAATACGGGAGAACTCCGAAAAGTATACCAACAAAGTTTTCTCCCTTTTCCTATTTTGTACCTGAGAACATGAGTGATTGACAATACGCCGAGGGTATCGAAATGTAATATAAGGGGAAAAAATTGTAAATTCCCAGATGGTTTCGGTGTTGCTTATGTTCGTTTTCTAAAATATGTGCTAGACACTTCAGTGGATGTTGAGAGATCTTTCTTCGCGTTCTAACTGATGTCTCCCAAGCGTCGCAAATTTGACATTGTGGACCCTGAAAATGTACTGGTAATATATCGCAATGCAAACTATTGTAAGAATAAAATGTAAAAGAGTTGTAAATATGTAAATGTTGTTTACATTAAATTATGCGTACTTGTTTTGTGCATTTAAGTTTACAAACTAAAATAGACAAAAATCACAGACAATTTTTCATTTGACTGTGTATGTAACGTATGACAGTACCTTGTTTTTCCTTATTCTTGACATTTTCAGTGCCTTTTAGGGCGCCTAACAGATGAGTTGTTAGTGCCTCAGCATCCGATAGCTAGCGATTACCATAGGGCAGAAATTCTAAATGTAAGTAAACGTAACTTGATTTTATTAACACGTTGATAGGCCCGTCAGAGCAACGCTGCAGTGCGAGGTTCAGATTCAGGACTGAGGTCGAGATCCAGGAGAAAGCGATTTTCAATTTTAAAATAATGATTTAGAACGTCCGAAATGTTCATAAGAGTTCTGCTAGCAATTATTAATGCTTCATTTTTAAGTGAAGTGCGAATTCTTTTAATGGTGATAATCCAAAAAATACTTGTTTATAAAATAAGAATTCCAAAGTATACTGAATATCTTTGACGTTAAAATGGGTTTATTGTTTAATCTGAAAAAGTTTTTATTTATTTTTTCACATTTAATAATGAAGAGAGGAGACCAAACAATTTCGTCATGTTCAGAATTACGATCTCCTTAACTTGCATAACTCTATTTACTTCTGGCTGTTACTTCGGGTTGCCTTTAAAGGCAGATAAACTCTTGCTGTTAGAATGAGGCTGCTGAAATTGCTATTAGAATTCCGTAACATTCTGTAGAGTTTGTTCCCAGTGGTGTGGAACAATGGGCAATTGGAAAGTCTGGTCAACATGATAAAACATATTTCACCTCTTACTTGTTCTTCTGGACGTTACTTAGTATTTTCAATTAAATTATATTTAAATAAGGGAATAAAAATATGCTTACGAAGAGGAACGTTTTGTTGAACAGATTATTACTAAACATAAATGTAGAATGCATTGTTCAGTCCACCAGTTCGTTTAATCCGCATTCGAAATTTGTATCTACGCTACTCTCAATCAATTTTGCTTATTGCGCAAATGATGTAAGTGATGTAAGTAATTCACTTAATAGCCTGAATAATCTAATATATGTGACTACGTGAACCGAAATATACCTTGTGTTTTGTGGTATTACCCATATCTCGAAATAAACACTAAGAACACATCTTGAAAGTTATTGAAAACTAGTTTATGTAAAGTATGCTGGTAATTCAAATACGACGATTGCAAGTAACTTCCATACTGTCAAAATCATTGGCAGTTCTAAAATTTGTTTAGCACCCACGAAATAAATTTAAGGCTGTGGATCGATTTCCCTTTTTCCATTGCCTTATGAATTGCTACTCAGGTAAATTTTCATGAACGAAATTGTGAACTTGCAAGTTGGCTTGTATCGTCTCATACTTGTTTGACTCCTTTATGTGTATACGATGAAAGAATTCTAGTAAT